CCCTTAATTTGTACATAATTATGTTCAAATAGCTAGCATTACTCTTGTCAGATACTGTTTCGCGCGAGTAGTCGCTAACAATTAAAAAATGATCAGACGATTGTGTAAGGAACAGACATCTTGAGACAAAGTCCCAAAAAGGGGTGTTTATTGATGAAGATTACAATTGGAGATGAACAGGATGCCCCCAAAGGGCGCAAGCACACGAGTACAAGAAAATGATGAATTAAAATTAATATAAGAAAAGTAAAATTACATATTCTCTATTTGAGAGTGATTTGTTCGGTCCCTTCTTCATTGTCTTCTTTTTTCTTTATACTTCTTGGACAGCTTCCAACCGTTTGGAAACTACTTGTAACCGCTCACTTTCTTCATTGTGGCCAACTTGTCGAAAACTATCGTTCGTAACTATTGCCACTATGCTTTTTACATAACTGCTTGCCATTGAAATTCCTAGATTGTGGGGCGTGACATGATGTGCTCAAACTGTTCGAAATCGCTACTTTAGATAACAACAAGACGTTATCTTTACTAGGATCTTGAGCGACTCAACAATTTGGGCGATGACGGGTCCATCGCTCTGGGCGACCATAAAACATTTCATTCGCTTAGATTCTGGACGTTCTGCAGGCTTGAGCGATGATGTTACTTTATTTGTGGCTTCATTCCTAAACTTTTTAATTGGGCTTCATTCCTGGACTTCTTAATTGGGCTTCATTCTTTGGGTCATTCAAGTTGGACTACACTTTTTTATGTCAACAATTACCTTCCAATATGACAAAATTAATATCGATTATTAATTTTTGCCATATTCACCTTTGTATTTTTCAACAACATTTGAAATTTCCAAAAGTTCCAATCATTGTTTCATTCTATTGCTTGAAAAGGTGCAACGCTTTTTTTTTTCTTTTAGGTGCAACACTTCAAACCCTTATAATCCCAAAAGACACGCCATTTCGTCGTACCATTAGCCTCACGTCTTTGCATTGTGCTTCTCCATAAAACCACTGTTCACCGTCTTGCTTCCTTACTACGCTTCTCCAGAATTCTTCACAACAATTGTACTTGACATCCAATGGCGACTTTATCATCTTCGTCCGATAACTCTTTCAATTTTGAGGATTTCCAAAACCTCCTTACCTGACCATAGTAAATCCATCTTTCCTTTCACAAGCCAATCCAGACCTCCACGAATTTTATCTAGGTCCGTTGTTTAATGATGTTGAATCTATAGAGAAGGCGGCGGTGGGTCAGCTGTTCCCTTGCACTGAAGATCTTCCCTTCCTGAACTCCCTGCCACTGAAGCCAGTCCAAGAACGAGGTATCCGTACTTGGCCCAAAACTGACTCTACTTTTCGTTTTTGGCATGTACGTTTAGTAAAACATGGCCCCACCAAAACACTTTTTGATCGTGCAAGAATTTCAGATTTATTGGAAATTACGTTCCAATCCCCAATTTATGATTCAGTGCTTTTTCCAATTGCACTAAGCTTCTGGTCCTCTGAGTATAATACTTTCATATTTTCCCTTGGTCCAATGTCCATTACTTTAAGGGATATAGGAGCCTTAGTAAACCTCCCTCATTTGGGCGATACTATATTCCCTGGTATGTTAATTTCTAGTGTTGCCCCAAAGTTTGACAAGA